GACAATACTTCTACTATCTCTACCACTATGGGATTCGGACTGACAGTTACATTTCTGTGCTAATGCGGTATGACAATCTGAACCTATGTACATACTTATGTACGGAGTTCTACGTTGTAATTAACTGACTGTCATTTAACAGAAAGTAATAACCTGTAGCTTCCATTTTAAGACTATTTATTTTTTTCGGTAAAATTGGATGAAATGGTTTCTAAGATAGCATGACAAAATTTAAAAAATAAATAATAACTGGGAGCTAAAGACTACTCGAAATTGTAAAGTCAGAAGTTAATTTGACCAATATTTACTGAATTAAATCAAGTATAAACAAATCTCGAAATCATTGATAAAGAGTGTGATGAGGACTTTACTTCGTTTGGGGTGGAGTTTCATTCTCTGAACCGGATGATTTGGTTGCGGAGATTTCATTTCAATACTCCACTTCCATTTGAAGTTTGTGCTGATGATGTTGTTCAGAAGAACGATAAAATGGAATGCCAAACCAAACTGATTTATTGATCCATTTTGTAGTGACGTATCGAAAACAAATTGAAATATATCTGTACATAGTCCCAAAAAGTGGCCTTCGTCCGTCTCTTGGTTCACACTTCATACCCATTCATCCTCCACGATTTTCCGTTACTGTATGTTCTCCATAATCACCTCGTAGAAAATGAAAAGCAGTTCGATTCTCATTCAACGTAATACTATCCTATCAACTATGGCCAATGAGTCATATGTGACGATCCCAAAGAACTCTTAGTTATCAGTGATGAGCTCAAAGGTTGACAGAAATCATTAAGTGGTTGTGAAGTTTCACGAGTAATAAAGGATTTACAGATATACATGTCCATTAGATTTATGTCTAATACACCATTTCGGTACATAGACAAATTTTCGTTATCGTTTATTCGAAACCAGCAGCATTGAGCACAAATTTACGAAGAAACGATAGCGACGGTAATTCAGTTCATCAACCTGATACTCACAATATCCACCAAGTGACATAATGGGAGTTTGTAGCTTCGTTTGATCACTTACCAATCATAATACTAGTGGAAACATTGCCTAAACGGAAGACTGATCTGTGAGGACCCTTTCTTTATGTTGCATGTTAAGCGCACAATGCAAAATGCATTGATTGTAAAGGAATAGCGCTCTTCAAGTCTGACGTGACCTCGTCGACCTCTCACCAATAACAAGGTACAATCGAGTTTTCGATACCAGGTTGGGATATTGAAACATCTCGGAGGGTATAAACTTTGTCTCCCTTCATTGATAGACCGTCAGAATAACAAATCAGATATGCGAAATCATGCCAAACTGGAACCACTATGCAACAGGTCTAGCTGTCTCCTTCCTAGTTGCCCCAACGGTAGTATACACACATTCGTTCACTTATGAGTGCATGACTTGTGCAAAAGTTATTGGAACCACGCGAAGCAGCTTGCTAGGATGGTGAAAGACAGTGTTGAGATTTTGAGTATTTTTCAGGTTCTCTATATATATTCACCTATTTTAATATTATTACTTTCCTCCCTTAAAACTTATATTTCGCGTATTTCCTCTTAAATTATCTTACATTCAACATTTCAGTCTATTGAGTAGCATGTACAGTGATAACGCCGCCACCAGTTCTTACACTAAAACAACTAGGAAAACCAGTAGAGGTGTTGAAGAATCCAGAAGATTAGGATTTGAGAGAACACAAAGAATGGATGCACCTGCGCTATTGCAAACGGTTTTGAGCCATGTCATTCAAGGTCTCTGACCATCGATTATTATCATCTCGCGGACCCCAACCAGGTAGTCGACAACTACCGACATGACTCAGTCAGTAAAGCTAGTAGGTAAAAACGAAATATGAGATCACAACAATGGTAATTTTATTACCTGCAAGTTGACAGTCAGAAGCAGCGATTCTGCATTTGAATGTAACTTCTGCAGTGCATAGGTTAGCTGTCACTGAAATGCTACGTGCTAAGTCAGTTCTGTTCGTGGTTCTGATATTTTTGTTCATAGTCAAGAATAATCAAATCAACCAAGTTAACAATAGCTGAACGAAAAGCTCCATCAGAATAAACTTAGCGATCCCCACCAGTATACCTAATTCACCATCAAAACATGTATCAAACAAGATACAAATATAACCTCAACCCGATATAATACACTATCAAAATCAACGTTTGTTGTAAATATCCCAGGATCACTCAACAGTAGGAAGCAGTGGTTGAGTGTAAGAAAGGAAATCGACAACATCATAAGATCGAAAAAGACAAATGAAGGCGGCGATGTTTTAAATAATTCACTAATTTCATTTAACGTTGCAGTGTCGGAGAGTGGCTTACTAAGAAAATGTAGTTTCTGCTTTGATATTGATAGGTATAGCGCAATTTGAAGGTAGTTTTAGATTCGGCATAGTTCGCAGAAGAAACCCTACAAACACTTGAAAGGCCTTGAGTTAAACTACCCACCCCTATCCGTGTGAGGCACAACAAACCAGTGTGGTGGTCTATGCTTAAGCTGGTTGGTGGTAAGATCGGTGGAGCTGACCCACACGATGTGCAACAATGTCGGTAGCACAGACCTTCACACCCCATGGCAATTCGCGGTTCCCAACTACCTTATCCGTTACATCTCGCGATTACTAAGCCACCGTGTCTGATGGCAGTGAAATTCAGAAACTGAGAAAAACCCAGTGGAGGTACTTCAGGCTCGGTACAGCACGAAGAACGATCTCTCTAGTCACATTGGATATTGTGGTAGCTGATCTAGATCGATGAGATAAGAACAGGAACATAAACCAGACTCATAGTGATGTGTGTCGACCTCGATCGACTACCCAAGGTACAGGATGCGAAAACCACAGTCTCGCCAGTTGAACCTGCAGCGACCAGTTTCCACAGAGCTGATCAACTCACTTCAATAAACTTGCTTACAAATCCGTTGACAAATGTCACTGCAGTAGCGCATCAGGTGATCGGACAAACCATCAAGTGCCTCCGTAGCAACTTAAGAGGACTGAGGACTAAATTGGGAGAGATCAGAAGCATGTGCTCTCAGATAGATCTGAAGATCAGAATTCCAACTGAAACGTAGCTATCTCTCGACAGAGCAGACAACGAAATGAGCTTGCAAGGCATAACTCTGTTCCAATGAGATAAGGTTCAGAAAATGAGAAATGGTGTGGCAATGTACAAGAAGTGAAAAATCTCTCTGAAGGATTCTGACCGTAGTTCTTGCTTGTCTTTGAGATGCAATACAGAAGTTAGAAACGTTAGGAGACACTTCCAGGCGAAGCTAGCAACCAAGATATAGACAAACTCACAATATCTGTCTAAGTTCATAACTAAGAGAAAACCTACAAATCAGGTTGTTGGTGCTCTCTAGGGTCGGAATGGAGAAGATTTTACCAAGTTACAGATGTCTGAGATCTTTCATGCCGACATCACCGACCATTTGCACCAGGTACCTACAGGTTCAGAGTACTACCCAAACCTAGTGCCATCTGATAGCCTGGATAATTTCTGACCTATTCCTGGCTTGGTACTAAGAAAACCCGAATCCCAGTGCCTTGAAAAGTCACTAGGATGTGACAATATTCATCCTGTGGTCCTGAGACAATGTACAGAATCACTCAGTTCACTGTTCCATGACCTGTTCATGCATTCATCGGAGTCACACCAACTCTCAGCTGAATGGAAGCAAGCTACTCTCACTAAAATCTTTAAACGATCAGATAGGTAGGATCAAGCCTGTTACAGACCAGTCACATCACTAGAAATACTATCCTAAGTAACGTAATTATTGTTGGGTGATCAAACGAGGGAGTACATGGAAAACATCCTCCATGAATTTCAACACTGGTTTAGGAAGGCAGTTCACGCACATCTAGTCTTCTCTTAGAGTGGGGCAGTTGATCAAGATGTTCCTTACTCTCTTCAAAACGTACGCACGGCCACACCTTGGAGTACTCACTCTCCTCAAAAGAGACATTAATCTCCTGGGTTAGTGAATTATGTTTACCAAGATATACTACGACGCCTGAGATTCTTCCAAATGAGTTATAGAAGAATCAAAGGTGATCTGATAATGATCTACATGTCATATACGCCAAATCATCACGACACTGGTATCTTGCCAAAACACCACCAAGCCCCTCGAAGAGACCCTTAAGAAATCGCACATTGAAGAGCGAACACCCAGATATGTTCCCATTTCCCCCATCGGTAGTTTTTCCAGCTTGGAATGCTCTCTCAGCCGCAGTCACCACAACTCCCGCAGCGGATATCTCCTAAAAGGGACTTGATAAACAAGTACTCATATACGGACCAGCTGTGTCTGGTTCATATCTCGAAACTTGCTAGCTTTCGGTATTGCAGTTTCCTCAGATGATTATATTATTCCGTCTCGCATATTATCTCTGTCTCCTCTTCTTTGCTTACACTTCTGTCCTCTCACACAATCTTCGCTAACGGCCGATTAAATAACCTATTTATTGATTTTTCTAGTTCTGAAATCTCCCTCTTCCCATCAGCATTAAGATTTTCTCCTTAATATTCTCCATATTGCAGCTAACTGAACTCCGGCCTAGTTATGTGATAGCTGATGGTATCCAGAAACCCTACTGCCCTAAGACAAACGCACTAGCGCAAATCACGGGACATACACTTTTTTAAATTACTGACAACCGTCTAGAACTAATGCAATCGAGTGACTAGACTAATTTCCATTGGGTATTACCACATATCTGGAACAGTACCGAAAGAACAAGAAGCGAGCAGAAAGAAACTCGCTCGTGAGAAACATATCTGTATCGGACTCCCACGATACCCTCACCTTGTCAATGCTATTGAATAAACTTTTATGAGTTCTTTTTCCCGTTAAATTCTAAGAACTACCTACGATACAACACTCAAAAAGTTCAATAAGCATTCTGTCTGTTATTCCCGGCTTATTAGGAATGAAAGTTGGTTTAAGTGTTTGAATAGATTGTTACCAATTAGGCCGGGAAAATAGTTGGAAATATGGCGGACCTTGTTAATAGACAGAGAGGGGAGGTCTTGATCAATGACAAGTACAGGCTTATGCGAAAAATTGGCTCGGGGTCCTTTGGAGATATATACTTGGGTGTGAATCAACTGACGGGTGAGGTAAGTTCACCATACGATGGTCTCTGTACTTGGTATCATCTTGTCTTAATGTTGGGTCAATCATAATTTAGTTTCTTGATTTTCGTTCTGGACCAGTGCGTTAAATTATTTAAAACATACAACTCAACTGCGTTCTGCTTGCTGTATGTTTTTCTGTATGGGGGATCTGTTGTTACTCACTTGTAATGACTGACCGCATTCGATAGCAATCTTGTGAGAATCACTACAAAACGATCACTGAGGTCAATCTAACCTTCTCTATGTCAACAGTTAAATACTATGGTCATCTAAACCAGATAAGTCCTAACCTATCGATGAAATTCGAAAAGTGGTGGTTCCGTTTGACGACTAATGCTACAATCATACTAGTTCATAGTTTTTGTTCTCTCAGTAATACTAGCCAGTATCATGCCACCACTATCTGCCTCAATGACTTGGCAGCTAATAATATGCTGTCATAGTAAATGCTACCTTCATCTGATGCTGATTGTGCAATTAACATCCATTGAAGAACAATATGCACCACCCCATTCGATCTGCATGAAAGTGACTTGAATTAAAACTAACGTTTTGTATATGTAGCTGTCATATAGGGTTCAAAAACAGCTAATAATCATTGAGTCTATCCTAGCCGCCAGTCGTTTGTACGTCGTTGGATTGTGACACACTGATCCCAGAAGTAAATGTATGCCATTGCAATCGTTGTATACTCCCATGGATTGCACTATCTCGGGTCCCTAACTCAGTCAGTTAAAGAAAACAACCAGGAAGACCTGGAAAGCGTGTTGAAAGCCCTTCACGTTGGTCTCCCATTAATCAGTCAGATTAAAATGCTGAATTATCTTAATATTTATTTAATCATGCACATTGGTACGAAGGTTGACTCAAAGATAGTGCGCCGCAAATTATTGAGTTTGTGAGTAGGTAGGGATACTGCCCGGACACCCAGATCGAAATGGGACTCAGGAATAGTCCCATGTGGCTGGTCTATGGGAAAGACGGAAACTAGTTTAAAAAGCATAGAATACAAGCCTACATAACCAACGAAGTCACTATCATGCTTAGCTGTAAATTAACCAAATGAGTCCCTACCCTTCAACAGGTTACAAAGCACAAGAAAGTTCAGAGCTATGACTGTTTGTCATCCCATCTAGTGGCATATTGGTCTATCCACCGGTTTATTACGTAGTCATCAATCCTAAAGCCAACAACATGAAAAGTAAAACAAAAATATTAAAGCATTGTATCGTGCAAACTGTTTCAGGCTACGAAGATTTGAAAAACATCGGTGAAGATTTACACCAATTTTTCAGTTCTTTAAATAGAACTGCATATTACAAATTGATTAGAGCTGGGCAGATAAACTATTGGATGTTGTCCTAGTGGTCTAAATGTTTAGCGTTCGTCGTGAGATCTGGAGGTCCTATGTTTGATACTTGTTTGTTTCGTGGACACTGGTGCCAATCAGCTGCCAAATGCTTCCTGGTTTTCACTGATCCTTGGTTAAAACTGCGATTTACAGTCCATCTTGAAGTAATCAGTCTTGTGTATAATTCCGTATTTGCTTATTACTTGCATTATTATTGTGATTAATTTTTTCTTCCTTTCAGGAAGTTGCAATCAAAATGGAAAATGTATATGCTAAACACCCACAGCTCCAGTTTGAACATAAGGTATATCGATTGCTTGCAGGTGCAGTAGGCATCCCTCAAGCAAGGTGAGTCGTCATTTAGTCAGTATAATTTTTAAGGTGGTATGGCACTTGCCGAACGTACTGGGTCCTGGTAATGGATCTTCTGGGTCCGAGCTTAGAAGATTTATTTACCTTCTGTTGCCGGCGATTCACTCTGAAAACTGTATTAATGCTTGCTGATCAGATGCTCGCTCGGATCGAAAATGTTCATAATAAAAGTTTGATTCACCGCGATATTAAACCTGACAACTTCCTCATGGGGATCGGACGTCATTGCAACAAGGTGTATATGATTGATTTTGGTTTAGCTAAACGCTACAGAGATGTGCGTACAGGACGTCACATCGCTTATAGGTAATCGGTGTTTACTGCATTTACCCCCTACAGAGAAGACAAAAACCTTACTGGAACTGCTAGATATGCCAGTATTAACGCACATCTGGGCATAGAACAATCTCGCCGAGATGATTTGGAATCTTTGGGCTACGTCCTGATGTATTTTAATCGAGGATGTTTGCCTTGGCAAGGTTTACGGGTAGGTTCTTCACATTCAATCACCTATGCAATACATTTAATCTATCCTGTTTCCTATAAGGGGGGAAAATATTTTATTTCCTTATGTATTCTACGTATGATCTAACTTACCTAATGTTTTTAAGATTAGCTGACTCAGTAGTTTCTGTTGAGATTATCAACTCTAAAAGTACAACTCCAAGCCTTTACGCGTCTGATTAAACCTCTAGAAAGTTCTAGCAGTTTCGTGTGCCGGATAATTTGACCCTAAGCAGATATATCGATACAGTGACCGAAATTCTCTAATCAAAGTACACGAACTGGCAGACCTGTTCCATCGGGTCTTATCATATCATTTGATCACAAAATATTACCGTTAATCTTAATACATGTAACAAAGACGAATTCCTCGATTTTAGGCAAAAGTTTTACGTCGTGGTTGTTTTTGGAATAACATCTAAGAGTTCCCCATGGAGTCTGGTTACTGATTTTAACCCATTTCCGTACTAAATGTATATGCAGTTTGCTGCGAAATCAAAAAATTAAAAGTGAATCTTGGGTGGTACAGTAAACGTCTATAAATGGTTTCAAAAATTCATGATCGGTAAAAATAAAAACTGGAAACTGGGTACATAGCTTGCACGTCTATAAATCCTAAAAACGATAGCCCGTTAACCTGTAGTGTAGTGAAATTTTAATAAAAGGAACAGATCATGCTAAACCTTAAAAGCCTGTTAAGTCTTGATTCATAGCAATTCAAAATCAATCAGCAACAACGTAGAACTTGGTATGTACGTGTATCACATTAGCATGGAGGTGAAAATGCCAATTCAAAACCTGTGAGTAGAGACAGTAGGAGTATCAGCGGTATTCGAAAAGAATAGGGATCGAAGATGTGGTTCGAAAAGTGTAATCCAGTGAACTTAATTTAAAAAGATAAAGATGATGATCAATTCAGGAGACTAGAATTTGAGAGGACTCAAAGAATGAATGCACTACCTCATTGCAAAAGATTTTGAGCCATGACATTCAAAGTCTCTGACCACCGGTTCCGATTGTCTCTCTGATCCCACCCAACCAGGTAGTGTACACCTAGTACCGTAGCCCAAACCCGCTGCCAATGACTCCATGGACTAGTGTCATGTTTTGATTTAGCCACTCCTAGCTTTCTTCCAGCCTATCCGTATATCAGAGATCGCTCATCCAGGTAATCGGTGGTTAGGCATACATAACACTCGTTCCAACCACCTCAAATGATAAAGATTAACTACTTCATCAACTGATCTGCCATTCTTGCCTAGTACGCTTTTACTTACCCCGGCATTGTTTATTCGATGGTCACAATATACACAAGCAACGTTTCGAAGACACCTATGATCGAATACTAGTAAACTACAAATATCCTCTATTCCTACGGGCTTTTTCATACTCGTAAACTAGGACAGAACGAAATGCTGCACAGTAGACTCGTCCTTTGTTTGGTAGACGGATTTGATTGTGACCGAGTTAATCTTGTGTGCTATTGGAGGTATGATGGTGGATGTCTCTTCCCGGCTGCTCTCACCGTGCAAGGGTATTTATTGAGGAGTCTGGAAAAGAAGCTCGGTTAGTGTTGATTTTAGTGGCTAGCGTGACCTAAGAGCACAAAGGATAACTGTTTGAGGCCGGTCACGCACGGCCTTCTTATGAGAGGTTTTTAATGTGTTAGCTCCACTCTTCAAATGGCCTTACCACAGGAGACGGAAATCCATGAGGTATGACATTTTTAGGGTTGGGCTTTTCTAACACCTTCCCTCTGATGTGAGAAGATAGAATCGCTGCAGATTGTGGTTACCTGGTGGAAATACCTTACTGCCGTCACACAATTCTACAGTCGGCAGCACGACTTTGCCCTCAGACTATGAGTAGCTGCTTACTGTTTTCTAATCGACCTGCCTGGCGCGGCAGGACCCAAAGTATCATATGTTCCAGCCACCACAGTTCGGTTGGGTCATCACGATAGGCATGTCCGACCACCACCTCAAGGTAGCAGCTACGATCGGGAATTGGAACATATCTTTTGGGGACGTTAGGTCCCCAGTATTCACTTAGAAAGGTACTAATTTTGTAATTTTATTCTCGATTTTCCAATTTCCGTGTTCTCTCGCAAGTTGACTCTCAGCTTACATTCCTCCCCCCCGGAAAGTCCCTGAGAGCTATTTGTTGATGGATAATTTTAGTACGCTACTTTGTGGCTCTCACAAGGGCGTTTCTATCATTGTATAAATAAGCTTGATTTGCGTGCTTAGACACCTCGTGTTTTCTGGGTGCTTGTAAAATACATTCTCTACGCTTGATCAAGACCTATTGATCTAGTTAGCAGGGCCTGGAATAACGGATTATAATAGTGTGAAGATGCGGTCTATACAGCTACGTCTAGGTCTAAAACCAGCCTGCTTTTCTCTCGTCTGCACTTCACGAGCACTAGTAAGGTGTCTAAGTATTATCGAGGCCAATATTTTAGATACTATATTAATTAGACTTAGTCCCCTGTGGTTGCCGCAAGTAGACTTTTGTCCTTTCGTATAAATAGGGACAATCAGGGATTGTGTCCAGTTCCCAAATTCTACCTAAGATTTCAGTGAATTTAGCTGCTAAAGCTGGACCACCATCCTTAAAAATCTCAGGGATAAGCCTCTCAGGACCTGCTGCTCGCCCTCGCTTTAGATTTCCTATAGCCTTTTCAACTTCATAAACAGTCGGAGTGCTTACGTCGACTTGCCATTCAGGATGGCTGGAGATCGTGGGTAACCGAAGACTGGCTCGAGGCCAGTTGAACTGATCCCTAAAGTGTTCTGCCCATCGGTCCAGTCTCCTGGATTAAGAATGAATCATAAGACCATCCTTTTCCGAAAGTCTCACTCACATTTGCGTTCCTAATACCAGTTTCCTTGATGAGTCGGAAAAGTTGTCTACTGTTGCCTATCGCCGCTGCCTCTTCTATCGCTTTTGCTTTCGCCGCCCACCACTGTTCACGGTCGTTGCGCAGGCTTTTTATCAGCCTGCGCTTAAGCTGACTTAGTTCTTCTTCATGTTCAGAGCCAGATGGGATGAGTTTTGAATCCATGGCTTCATCCTATGCTTATGGTTTACCTTACTAGCAGATATCACTGCTGTTTCCACACCTTTTTGGATATCATTCCAACATGCCTCCAGATGGGAATCGCTTACATGGTCGCCTAACTCTCTTTCTAGTTGCTCCTGAAATATATTTCTAGCTTTATTATCATTAAGTAGAACCCTAAGAGGTTTCCTTGCGGTGTCTTTCCTACATCCAGTAAGCCTCAAACAAATACGAGCTCGCACTAGGGCATGATCTGAATCTAAACATGTGCCCCAGAACGAGCGACAGTCCTCTATCAAACCTGTCCATCGGTGGCTGACGGCGATGTGATCTAGTTGCGTCCAACGTTGAGACGACTTCGAGGGTCGCCAGGTCAAAAGATGTTTTTCCTTATGCCTAAAGTTAGTGTTTGCTAGAAATAGGCGGTTATCTGAGCACAGTTGCAACAGACGATCGCCATTGTCTGTTCTCTGAGCCACGACACAATAACATCCACCCAACTGTCTTTCCTGCTCACTCAGTCTACCTACTTGAGCGTTAAAGTCACCAGCCATTATTACTATATCAGAGCGCCTAACTTTTTGGAGGGGGTCCGAAAGCTTCCTGTAGTGCTTGTCTTTCAACTCGTCTGAACTGCAGTCAGTGGGGGCATAGGCGCAGATACGACGAAGAGGCAACAGCGGGCTTCCCTATCTTCCCGAGTCCTTACTTTTCCGTTAAGTCGGACAGCGCATAAGCGACTATCTACTGGGATCCAGTCTAGGAGAACTAGTTCTGCCCTAGGACTCCATACTATACCTACACCAGCGAGACCCCTGGAAGCAGCATCAGGGCTACCAGATACACGAAGAGTAAATGGAGCTGCTTCTTTGTTTTGATAGGGTGGAATCAGATTAATGACTTTACTAGTATCCTGTATGCGCGTTTCCGAGACGCAGCACACATCGATTGAGCGAGATTCTAAGGTCCTACCTTATGATGCCTGTTGCCTTATTTGACACAATGTCCGTACATCAAATGCTCCAACATGTAGTTTAGAACGGGGTTTAAGAAAACCAGGAACGACGTTTCGTGAACTTGCATCGTTTCATTAGCTGTGCAGTGAGATAAAGGAATGTGAGAATAGTTAGTTGTGGAGAGAAGAGAGGTATTAGGGAATGTAGGAAGGATTTGATTTTGACCAATTTGGTCTCGTGTGCTGTTACGAGTATGAGGGCGGTTGTCACTTCCCGGCTGCCCACACCGTGGAAGGTTGTTTCTTGAGGAACCTGAAAAGGAAGATAGATTAGTGTTGGTCTTAGAGACCTGAGTGCGTGACCGCAGATTCCAAGGGACAACTGCTTGAGGCCGGTCACACACGGCTTTTTCATGAAGGGTTTTTTGAGTATAAGCTCCGCTCCTAAAAGCTCTCATTCGGCACCCTTACCGACGGAGACGGAAATCCGTGAGGTAGGGTGAGGTGTGACATTTTTAGGGTCGGCGTTTTCTAACCCTTCCTTCCTTGTGAGAAGGCAGCATCGCTGCAGATGCTGGTTGTCCGAGGTAAACACCTTACTGCTGTCACACCCCTCTGCAGTCAGCAGTACGACTTCGCCCTCAGACCTTGGGTAGCTGCTTTTAGTCTCATCGTTCTCCAATCGACCTGCCTGGCATGGTACGCCCTGCAGGAACATATGTTCCATCCAATACAGCTCGGTTGGGTCATGATGGTAGGCAAGCCCGACCACGATGTCAAGGTAGTAGCTACGGTCGGGAAGTACCTAAAAGACGTGCTAGATCCTTTTCCAATTCGTTGGGCCTAATGTCTGCTTGTCAAAGCTCATCCCCAAGTGAGGGGAAATTCATTACCCTTAATATTGTTAGGCATTAGTTTAGATCGCAGATAGAAACGGCATCTGATGTCACCATCCTCACGTAGAATTTCGACCGAAATGGGCAATTCTAGCATGCAGCCAACAACACCAAAGCCTTGTTCTGAATGTGGTAATTACCTTCGCCTGTTAGAACAATTGGAATGTAAAGTTACTTTTCGAGAACCGGCGTTTACTGTGGTATTATATAGCGCCAGCTGATCTGAATTTACTTGGTTTAGATTTGTTCGACCAGCTAAAATTAGCTGATGTCCCGTTGAATACTACATGCCATCTGATATCACGACCACATGACACTGAAGCATATACGAGGAATCTAATGACGTAGTTTTCAAGCATTTTTCAACCTGGATTGGGTTGATGTTCTGCCGTGAAAGCAACACTTCCGTTGAAACCCGGGACCAAGCCTGTTTTCCGTCCGAAGAGACCCGTGCGTTATGCAACATTACCAACAGTTGATGAAAAATTGAATCGCCTTCAACAACAAGGAGTCATGGCGCTCGTCTCTTTTTCTGATCAGGTAACACCTATAGGCACGATATGTATGTGTGTTGACTTTTGTACAGGTCTCAATGCAGCTCTGGAACAACATCATTGTCCTCTGTCAGTTCCCGCTGATCTGTTTACTACGCTGAATGGCGGAAAGTTTTTCGCAAAACTGGATCTAGCTGATGCTTATTTGCAAGTGGAAGTAGACGAAGCATCAAGAGAGTTGCCTACCATAAATACTCATCGTGGTTTGTTCCAGTATAACTGTCTGCCTTTTGGAGTCAAGACTGCCCCATCTTCCAGCAACTAATGGATACCATCCTATCAGGTATCTCGAGGGTCGCGGCTTAACTCGATGATATTTTAATTGTTGCGACGACATTAGAACAGCTACAGGAACACACGACATTGGAGCTACAACGCATCAGTGACAACGGGTTCCGGTTACGCCCAGAGAAATGCCAGTTTCTATTGCAGTCAGTAAAGTATTTGGGGTTTATCTTTGATGCCGACGGCCGCAGACCGGACCCTGAGAACATCCGAGCTGTCAAACTGACGCCCACTCTCACTAATGTCTCGGCACTACGCTCCTTCATGGGACTTGTTAACTATAATTCAGCGTTCGTTCCTTGGATGCATGATATTCGCGCTCCATTGAATTGTCTACTGGAGAAGAGCAGTACTTGGGACTGGACTAAAGAGTGTGATACTGCAACTTTAGCTTTCATCTTGACAACTTCATTTGATATGGTTCAGCAGCTCAAACTGGTACATGTGTGTGCCGGTGACCACATTGTTTATGGCTGACTAAGCACTGCTGCGTCGTGAGTTGCACGATGGGAACTGGATATGTGACATTCTCCTGTAAGTTTATGCACGGTCATCGATTAGATTATCTCAGTTTCTACGAGTTAACTTAAGTGTTGAAAAAACTTGATTATTTGCTCAAAGATAAGCGGTAATCCTATCGTCACTTCACTGGCAATCTAATGCTGTCATTCTTCTAATTCGCACTTAATTGCCACCCGATATTCAAACCATCTACAACGTAAAATCGCTAGAAATTCGAAGTCAGTTATTGACAGCTTCACAAAATCAATAATATTTATTATAAACAGTTCATCCTAATTAATCGGTAATGTTTTATCGATTCCCATGATTTTTAGTCGGTTACCAGTAACCGAATAGGTCGCAGAGTACATCTTGCTGCCTAATGTATTAGTTACTTTAATCCTCTGTATATTGATGAAATTAGGATTATCAGTTTCCAAAGTCAAGATTTAAGTTTTTAAAACCACCCGTTCTATTGAGTAGGAGTCATCGTTTTAAGATTACGACGGAAGGCGATTCCTGCGGTGTAGAATTTAATTGATTTTCATAACAAGACTTTGTCTCATTCGTCGTTAACACTTGTGTGATGTATCTTCGACTTGATCAAGACTCTAGCACCTTAGAAATGTAATATAAGTACAATGCATTATCATGCATCACTATTCTTGTAATTATCACCATGTGTAATAAAAGTACATACTTGCAATAGTACGGCTTGGTATATAAATTCGGTAGAAGAGGAACTCTGCTGAAACTGTCTAACTTGTTTTACAACTTATACAGATTGTTAATAATGAACTTTTCGGAACGGAAGTCCTCAAATATGCTATTGAAAATAATTATGGCGATCGATTTCCTACCATTAAGCTCACATCGATAATATATTTGACATGACACGTTTCATCAGTAATCAAACTGCTAGTCTCTTACGTCTGTTGTAAAGAATTCTTCCATAAAAATTGTTAATTTCTTTTCTTCTTTTAGGCGACCACTAAACGTCAGAAATACGAGAGAATTAGCGAGAAAAAGATGTCAACACCTGTTGAAGTATTATGCAAAGGTTATCCCGCAGAGTTTCAGATGTATCTAAACTACTGTAGGGGATTACGATTCGATGAAACACCTGACTATATGTATCTTCGCCAGTTGTTCCGTATTTTATTTAGAACAATGAGTCACCAGTTTGATTATGTTTTCGATTGGACAATACTTAAACAGAGAGCTCCTGCTGGTACTTCATCTACACTCAACAATGACACTACTAATATGTTAAACCGATTTCAAGCTCTTCCGAATTCTCCTGGTGCAAGTACTGCCGCTGAAGGTGATGCTAATGCAGAAGCCTCTGTCAACGCCACCGCTGGAGGCACTCAGGTTCCTTTCGGCAGAACAGGATGAGTCTTCAGTGTTATTCCTTTTGCTTTAGTCGAGTCGAATACCTCTTATACACCAACCTTTGCTAAATTCAAGCAGCCAATTTTAATCTTTTCGACGTAAACCTAACATTTTAGGGTATTCGTACATTTATTCATCCTAACTGTCATGTCTTTCGACTTATTTACTTTATTCTGAAGACAATTATACTAAACATTTATGCTCACAGTTATTGTTGAGATAACTTTAAATTTCTTGTGGCTATATTTGTTATTATAATTATTTTGGAGCGCGAAAACGCGAAACAAACATGTCTTCATACAAACTTCTAGGTTTTATAGAACTGTACATACAAGATGTATTTGATTAACTGATCACGCATATATATATATATATATATATATATATATATATATATAAACACGATCTAGAAGTTTTTATAACTTCCTTAAGAATTCATTGGATAGATTTTGTTATCTGCTTGTTAATGGAGTTCCTACATACATTTTCGACGGTCAATTTTGTTCATTTTTAAATCAGGGCTGATTAGAGTTGTCAATGCCACAAAATAGTTGTTCTTAGTGAATATTGTTACTGCGGTTTCAGCATGTGTTAATTTTTTTTATCGATTGTATGTTACTTGCGAATTTCATGCACATCTTTACTGATATTTGATGGTTTCTTTAATTTTTGTCCGTAACACCTACAATATTTGTAAAATATAAATTCTCAGTTTTTCCTTATCTTCATGTGTTTTGTGTTCTCAAAGAAAGAAACAATTATTATTGAAAATCTTTGATTACACCCAGCAGCTAGTTACAGTGATCTGTGTGGCATAATCAATACGAAGGTCGCTGTTTCGCATCCCGTCTCACCTACTTCGGTTTGGGATGTTGGGTAGTAGTATCACGCTCTCTTGCAGTCAGCAATAGGAATCTATGACGAGTACTTAGTCGATGGATGAATTACAGTACAATAGGTATACTATTGAAAGCTCTATAGTTTGAATAAACGAACTTATTAAAATATTTAAGGTTGTTTAATAAATCGGCATTTCCCGGATAGCATAAAGTTATTGATATCTGATAGTTCTAAGTTTATTGATTTCATATATTTATAAATTATTTCGTACTCTGTTGGACGATGTTCGTGTCAGAATGGGATTTCTTACCTTGATCAGCTTTTATGTATGTTCATGTTTGTTCAGACTTTTCAGCGACATGGCATGTCGACAAGTGAGATAATGTAAAATCCCTTGGACAGAATTGCAAGACTTTTTGGCATAATGTGTGCACTGGTATATTAGTAACGAGTAGTGATAATGTGTACTATTTTGTTAGGTTTAAGAAAAAATCTACACGTTCTGAAGATTGTGGTATGAAATTGTAGTAGTATTGGAAATTGCCAGACAGAAAGTTTTCACTACCAACCGATAAAACATTGGTTAGAAACCCACGATGAAGTGTTCTTATATAAACGGTATTCTTTTGAGTTAGATAACATTTACATCAGGACTGGACTTATAAGTCTACTAACGAAACTATCAGTAACCGTTTAGAAAATTTCTGGCGAGCAACTTGAATGGATTAGGATAGATCTGAATAAATCAGAGGGGGTATCCAATCAAAGTAATGCACGTCTACCGAAGAGAGAGCTTGAGATATTCGTGTAATCAACATAAAAAATGCTAAGTCAATTAGTGGTATCGTAAGCTTGGATGATGACGAGTGTCCGTTTATAGTCATCAAGCATCCTAATAGGATCACCGACGATATGAGTTTCCCAAGAATGGCGTTAAGGTGGGTCAATAATCACTTCTCATTCGATACCTTGTTAACTGTCACCTAGGGGAGCATACGTTGTACATACCTCTGATTTTCTGTATCGCCCTGCAAGTGTAGTTGTTGTTGTGGGATTTTCATTTCACATGGACTTATTACTTTAAATAATTGATATCTGCAAATTGTCAGAACACCCTAAAACATTTCTAAAATCTTAGGCATTGAAGATTTACTTTCACTCACATATTAAGTAATGCTAGTAACAGAGACAGGTTCAATTCAAATCCTAACCTCAAGTAACGAACCATAGTAATGTGTTTGGCACAGTTATCTTGATCCGTGAAGGTGAGAGTGGGATCTTATTTTCAAAGTCGTAGATAAACAAATCCTCTCGGCGCCTTGTATCAGTTTTGAGTTATGTGTGCTGAACTAGCTTGTTCTGCACACAGGTAAAAAAACAGCTGTAACACTGATTTAGTTTGTGGGTGACCACATCATATCCAAAGCATTTTTTACTTACAATCGTAGTTGATCTTCCGGGTTTGCTGCTGGCTTATCAAACAGTTCATTAGTTAATCTTTTGTAAGAAATGCGGCTAACGATGTGTAAACAATGTTATGGCTTGAATAGTTCATCTATATGAAGTAACTAAGTACTTAATTTCTCATTAACTTCAAATTACCTACTTCTATAGATTTGACATTCAGATTTTTTACCCTAAAAATTACTTAATCTATTGACTTAGTTCACTTAATAAAGCAGTTATATTATTCGAATAATTGATCTTTGGAATTTGAATGGATGATATGAATTTTTATCTTGAGTTATAAACTCTTGAATCTTCTGATCATTTTCACTCATCAGTTTGTTTTAAACTCCAGAAAAAAGTAATGAAGCATACTTCTGAGAAATTGCTAGATTTCGTATTAATTATTGGAGGACGACTTTGTTTTTACTTTTTTCTGATGTGATATATTAGTCAATGTGTTGAAATTAATGTTTAAGCAAACAAATTAATTATCGACAAAGGGAATTTATGAAACAAATTTTCTCCTCAAACGTAAGAGTAAAATATAACGAAAATTAAAACCGTTGTAAAGCGAATCGTTTAACACATTTATTTTCCACATATAACCTAGTCGACTCTACAATAAGTTGCAGATTAAATGACGCAATTGACCTGCATTATGCCTTAGTGTTCTATTCTGTTAGATGTTATCCAATACACAGAACAAAAAGCTTTGACAATTTATCTATTTACTTGGCTTCATCAGAGCAAGTGAACTAGCATAAATAAACACACTGAGTTGATGTGAGTCTTAGAAAGTTTCATACAGGCATTTTTTAGAGAGTACGTGTAGTAAGTAGATGATACGAAGATCAGAATGATCTCTTCAGATGGATTCTCAGTCTGTCGCTAGCAGCATCTCTTCAACTGAAGGTCTAAAAAATAATTTTTTTCTTAAGAACAGTGTATTTAGTCTGTGAAGGTCATTTGTCATTCATTCATATTACTTTCAAGTCGACATCAAATTAAAGTTAACGTTTGTAAGTGAATGTTAGTAGATTTTCTATTTTTTTTTTTTTTTGATTGCAAAATACAATCAAAAGTCAATGTCATTAACTAACTTCATAATTTATGTACACAGCTTATCATACTAATGACAGGTTTAACACACTTCCTTTCTCTGTCTGTCGGTATAAAGGTTAGTTTGAAAGCGCGTGATGGTAAATGACCTATACGAGTGAAATAAAACTAGAGCTCATTGTTTGTTGATTATTTTAAACTTCTTTGTAATATCATCATGATGTTCATTATCAATTAAAAATTGTTTAGTAATTACACTTAGAAAACTTCACTTTTTTTTCTGTAAACTACCACTTCCGAAGAATGTGTTCAAGAAAATCTCATAAATGCACATCATTCATTCATAGGTGCTTATTTTCAGAATTCATAAATTCATAAATAATTTTGCAGGTAATCTCCAAAAAGTATTTATCTTATTGTTAAAATTAATATTTTGAAAGGTTTCGAATAGAATTCATATTAAATAATCTTAATGAAAGATTGGATTGGTGATAATTAGATTCCTTATGATGATATTATTTTTTTTTCTAAACTCATTTTTCACTGTTCGATCTATATTTACTTCTAAAAGGGACCAATTACATTTTAGTGGTGATCCAGTCGAGATTGACTGATGATCACAACTAAATACTAATTACAAACTAGCCCGTTACTTGGTTTTCCTTATTACTAGACCTGGGAGAACGCTCGAAACCCGAACGTAACTAGTCTGTAGACGTTTTCATAGTTTTTCGAGCCGAACATCTACAAATTGAGCCAAAAACATTTCAAACAAAGACGTCCAAGTGTATATAGAGGAAAGATGGAATGTGGCTAGCGGTAGAATTGTAGCGAACGAGAACACAGGTAGGGCAACCGGATTATATTTAATGGAAATTACAGAGTTACTCAGTAAAATTGGAAAACCATATCGTAAATTCTTCATTTGCAAAATATCAGTTCATCCTATCGAACTGGACTGTTTCTGTTGCAAAACATCAATCCATTGTCACTATTCATGCGTTTCATACAAATTCCATTGTTTCCTAACTCTTCCTTTCTTGATCTTCCCCCATCTTCCGCTGCCAGACATTACGTTGACACTCACGTCATATACTACTTATAAGTAACTCACACCACAGAATCTGTGATGGGCATTTTGTGTTTTTACGGGATTGCCAGTAAGAGTTGTTTTTTTCGCATTCTTCTACTTTCCACAATGTATCTATCTATTCCTAATCAATTTACAACAATAATGACAATATCAAATCAATCTGTACATGATACATCACATACCAATTAAAAAGTGATCAAATTTCAATCAATATATCAACAATGCGAAAATTTAAACCATCGGAAAATTAAAGTAAAATATATTTGAAGAATAAAAAACAGATTATTATCAAACAAAAGAAAGAAACATATGATAATTTAAAGACTACTATTTTGAGATGGTAGAGAAAACTTGTAGCTCAGGTGGATGATGATTGTGGTGGTGTTTCGTTCTCTGACCTGGTTGTTTTGATTGTGGTCAACAGCAACCAATCAAGATCGAGGTTAGCAAAACAAGCTACAGGTCAAACGTGGAGAAATTCGAATGCTTCACTTCTTCTATCTGAAGTTTGTGCTGATGATGATGTTCAGAAGAACAATGAAAGCTCCACAATCAAAACAACCAGCTCAGAGAACGAAACACCATCACAGACTACTATTTTAAATGACATTTAGTTATTTCCAGGATTTGTTTTATTAATTATACAAACATCTTTGTATACATTGAATTTATTTATAATTAATAATTCAGTTGCACGTACCTACTCAACTAGTTTTCAGTAGTTTAGTTATATTTTAACAAAGAATTTGAACTTTTATCACGAATTACTTTCGTTTATCAACTGATTCTTAAAAACAATTAATTGAACTTTCCTAATTGTTTTTAATAGTTAATACATGAAAGAAATGACTAGTGATAGCTTATGTCATTGTTCAAATTAAGAAAAAACACTACTTTATATAGTAAATGTGTCGACCGACACACAGAAACAGTTCAACTCTTTCGATATTAACACACCAAATAGTTCAACTATTCATAGGATGAAGCAGGTGAAATCTCGCCATATCTTAACTCTTTCCAAATGCTCAATGATCACCTTTTTTCAGAGAGTGTTACATATAAGAAATGCAAAATGTGTACATTAGAAAATTGTATCTGGTGATAGAAACAGCTGAAATAAATGTGCATATATATATTTAATAGATATAAAAGTCACTTTTTTACCAGGTTACTATTTAAATACCTAAATTCTTAGTTTTATCTTAAATTAACCTTTACATAGAACAAAAATTGTCTTGTTCAAAAATAATCGATCATGTAAAAATTGTTGAGTGAAACAT